TGGGTGGGATATTAAAGGGTGTTGGGAGTGAGGGGGAGAGTGGGATTGGACTGAATGTGATATTAAAGGGTGAGGGGAATAAAGCGAGGAAGAGTGTGGTTAGACTGGGTGGGATTTATATTGTGTAGGGAGTAAGTGGAGAGAGTGGTGTTAGACTTGGTGGGATATTGAAGGGTGCGGAGAGTGAGGGGGAGGGTGGGATTATTCTGGATTGGATATTGAAGAGTATGGGGAGTAAGGTGGGAGGATCGGATTAGACTAGATGGGGTATTAAAAAGTATCAGGAACTCAGGGCTGTTTTGTAATAGTACACTTTATTCATCAAGCGCCCACAAGCACATGGCATATCGCATCAAGCCAGAACTAGTTTCGAAATTAAATTTCTAAACGCTACTTTTCTGAATTGAGTGCTCTGAACTCTTCAGAACATCAATCCCATTGCAAATTGCCAAGTTAACTGAAATGTTAAATGCAGTGTACACGTTCTGTTAGGAGCATCCAGTCCAGGAGTTACTGGCCCCATAATGCATCACTCCTCAGGGTAAGGGTATCTTATGTTCGAAACAAGGGGAACTTTTATTGTAAAAATATACTTCGTGGATGAAAAATCCTCCTGACCAGGGCAGTGTGAAAGATTTTTGTTGTTTTGGGGATATAAATGATTCTAATATTGGCATGTGTGTTACACGGACAAAGGCTCAGTTGTTTAAAATATAGACTTCCGTCATTCTATGTGGTCAGATTTTACACATAGTCTCCTTTGGGAAGTACCGTATGGAGCGCTTACAGTGAGACATTAACTTGTTTGTTCAGATCATTTACATACCTCCTTTCTATGTTTGGAAAATTTGACCAATACTAAGAAATTGCTGATAGAATCTTGAAGCACTGGTCCAAACAAGATAGACGTGATTCTTCACAGCAGCAGGAGCGACATTGTCTGCTTTAAAACACATCGTCAAACTCACAGTTTGGCACATGGCTCCCATGAAAGATTAGATATGGCATTGAGGCATCCATGCACAAACCCCAGTCTCCTGCTCTCTCTGTTCCTCCAGCTCAACAACACACTGCCCTTTATGCTGACATTTGCAGCTTTCACATCACTCTCAGTGCTCCTTGCACTCACTCTGACCTCTGTCACTCTCTCCCTGCACTTCGCATGGCTAACCCACCTGGCAAATACATCCCTGAATACAACAGGGTAGTAGCATGGCCAATCCACCTCACCCACACATCTTTGGGCTGTGGGAGAAAGCTGAAGCACCCGGAGGAAACCCACGCATGCATGAGGAGAACATGCAAACTCCACACAGACAGTCACCCGAGGCTGGAATTGAACCCAGGTCCTTGGCATAGCGAGGCAGCAGTGCTAACCACTGAGCCACCTTGTCACTCAATCATCAGCTCACATGATATGATGAAAGGAAAGACATCATGAGCACATCTCTTAAGGCGTATCGTCCTTCTGAGTCCGCAGAAGGTGGACTTGCTTGAGGTACACCACTGCTGGACAGCGCCTCGCTCCTCAGTCATAAACTGTTTCACCTTCCCTGATCCAAAGATTTCGATCTCACCGATCTCCCGATTGAATCTAAACTTGCCTGGCCCATCCAATCACTCATCTGTCTGTCTGCCGGTTTCAGTTCTCACAGTTCCCTGTTCCCCCTAACCTCAGACCATCTTATGTACAAAGGAATGAGTCCATCATTTAATACAATCGTGGCTTATCAGATCGTAGCTTCTCCTGCCCCCAAATACTCTCATGACAGTCTGGACTCTTTTTACCTCAGTTTGTTCTCTGGGGAGAAGAGTTTCAAAGATTTAGGACCCTCTGAGACAAGAGCAAATCTCCTTACTCTCCACCTTTGATGGATGACTTCATACTTTTAACCTGTTTCCCTGTCGACCTCGTCTCTCCCATAAAAGGGAACATCCTCCCCGCGCCCACCCCAGTCAGGTCCCACTCAGGATATCTTCCAATTAAGTCACTTCTCACACGTTTTAATTCCAATGGATACAGACCCAGTCCGTTCAACCCTTTCCTTCCATGGTATCGCACCCCTATTATATGTATTGGTCAGGAGAACTGTCTCTGATTTGCTTCCAACACAATTTCCTCCTTCCACAATTGCCAAGTCCATGCAAG